ATCCTCCTGTTTTCAGCCTCCCAAACACTGGGATTACAAGTGCACACCAACACACCCAGTCTCAGTCACAGTCACAGTCTCAGTGTGCCCCAGGGGCACACTGGCATGTGGTGCCAGGGATCAAACCTAGGTCCCTGTGTCTACCTAAGCAGGTGTTTTGGTCTGCTGAGCTATCTGACTAGCCCTATTTGGAGTAAATTTTGATGTCCTCATTGGTGTCTACAGGGTTGTTGAACCTGGATCCAGGTCATCTCTCACCTATTATCTTCTTTAGCGCCATCCTCATTGGGCTGTTTCCTATATGGTAACCACCCTAAGGTCTGAGAACCTTGTCAGTCTGGAATAGTCATACCTGGTGTCTCATGGTTTGTTTTCTCGCAGCCACAGGTCTTAGCTCAGAAGTATGTGAGCATGGTGAAGTCATGCCTTGACATCCTCTGTTTTCAAAATTCTATGTCTATCCCTAGAGTCCATCCTCTTTCTTTGTTTTTTAATTTTTCTATCATCCATATCTGATAAGATGTATTTCACTGATTTCATCCTCTTCTCCATTTGAAATGTGAACTTCATTAGGAAGTTCTTCCTCCTTTGTTATAGTCCATATCCCTTTGCCTACAACTATGTATTTTGTAAGTGTTTTATAAGTGAATCAAGGAAACAGAATGGGAAAGTGGAAACAAGGGTCAGCTGGAAGCAGAGGATTAGTGATTGATTGTGATAGGAAAATGAAAGAGTTGCTAAGGTATGGACAGAGGCAGGGCATCCTCTAAGTTTTAGGACAGACCTAGAATTACAGAGTACATTGTTTAATCATTGCATGCTGTTTTAGAGTAAAACTACTTTTGCGTGGTTATTCACCCAAAAGGACTCATCATTGCAAGATGTGCTGTTGGGTTTCAGTGCTCCAATCCCAACCTCTCCAATGCTACTGAGAAAATGTGGTCATTGACCTCACTGAGGAGGCTGAAGATATCTGAGTGAAGGCAGTTGTAGCAGTGTGCTGTGTAAAATGTGGTCATTGACCTCACTGAGGAGGCTGAAGATATCTGAGTGAAGGCAGTTGGTGCAGTGTGCTGTGTAAATGATCAGGAATCAGCAAAGCATGGACTCAGATCTCAGCTCTTTCATGGCTACTTGATGATTATGGGCAGTTTCCTTATCTTTAAGTGTAATTTATTTGCTTGAACCATGGATCCTCTGAGCCTTCTGAAGGGAGTCAAAGAAAGGAGGTCATGAGTGTCTCATACTTGGGACAGTGCCTAGCAGGAGGTCAGTGTTTACGGCATGTTGCTGCTGTGGTACCAGAAACTCAATAACCCTGAGCCTGTGAGTTTACATGTTTTGCTCAGTCCTTTTCTATCCCCATCCCAGGTGATTCCAAGGATGTCCTTCTTTCTAGGCTTTCTAGCCTTTCTCTGATCTTTCTCCCCTTGTGAATCTCCTTTAACAATGGAGCATGCCAAATTTTAATTCTATATAAAGAAAAACTCCAGAATTTTTGGATTCTGGCATTTTCATGATAAATTGAAGAGTAAAATACAAAGATAATGAAATAAAACAGACATAGAATACTGTACAATTTTAGGTGTGTGTGTAATCTTAAAAGGCACAGGACATGGAAGCAGAGGGTACAGTTGGAATGGCATGACATACAAGTGATCCAATTCTCTCCACCTGATTCTTGCTCCTGTCACCACTGCTTCACTTGGTCAAACCCCCTGTTTTATCTATCCCTCTTTCAAGCCAATTCTACAAGGACTCTGGGCCTGTTATATGTTTGTTAGTATAGTTTCTTGATTGATATTAGTCTCCCTCTACCTACATGAGAAAATAATCTTGTCTTTGATTGTTCCCCATACCAGCCACAGCATGTGGCACTTTGCATGATCAGTGAGGCTGTGGATGAATAGCTTATGAATGAAGAGAACAAATACACATCCTAGACTGAGCTTCTATCTTCCATTTCCCACCCAGCCTGCTCCAAAGGAGAGCCCAGTGCAGACTTACCTCAGGATCTCCAGCTGGCAGTGAGGGTGACCCAGGGTTTCACAAAGACTCTGCACAGCAGACAGATTCAGTGGATTTCCACTTAGGTCCAGCTCCTTCAGGCTGCCAGTGACCTGGAGAATGGAGAAGAGAACCTTCCAAGTGGCATCGGTGGATGGTGTCCACATGGACCTGAGGGAGAAAGAGAAGTGAGCTGCATGTGCAGGATCTGAGGTAATAGGCCTGTGCCAGAGTGTGGTTCAGTCCCTTGCACACCAGGTTGCTATGTGTAGCAGCACATCCCAGGTCTGACCTGCACTTCATCCTGCACTTTTACCCTCCACCTGCGCTAGATTTCCCTTCTCTATGTGGTTGTTCATTGTATAGTCTGTGTCAGTGCATACTGCTGTGTCCATTGTATGTATGTGCTTCTTCCTCAGTGTGGGAGCTCCTCATCTTTGTCTTCTTTTTGTTCTGTAATGTCCATCATAGGGCTTGGCATAGTGAAGGGCCTTTTTAATTATACAGCCTTCTTCTCTTTGATGGAGACAGATCTGACTGTCTTTGGCACAGAATCCATAGTCTCAGAAGCCAGAAGCACAATCAAGAGATGCAGCTTAGGAAAGGACCCTAGTAAATGTGCTTGAGGATGATTCCATGTGGAACGCTGTCTATGATCATTATATTGCTGTGCATATTGGTTTGTGTGGCTCTCCATTGCTTCCAAAGGATACGAAATCCACAGAATTGGTCCACAGGTGAGAGGTGACAGTACATGAAATTTTAAAGATTTATTAAAAAAATTAAGTAGTATCTCTATGCTGTGTGTATCAATTACATCCACTGTTGGAAATTTGTATATGAACCCAATATATATTAATTATTTTTCCTTCTTTTTAGCTTCCCTTTCTCCAAGCCTCATTCTCTCCCCGTTTTGTAATATTTTCTCATTCTTTCTTCATCTTTTGTTTTCATGTCTCTTCTCCCTTCCCTCTTTCTTCTCTCTCCCTTGATCTGCTTTTCATCTGAGTATATCTCCCTCCCTCCCAATATTTATTCTTTATTTTGCTCTCTGTTTACCCTTAGGATTTCTTATTGAAAGAAACAAAGCAATATTTATACTTGTGTATCTGATTTATTTCAGTTAAGAATATGGTCTTGACATGCATCCAATTACTTAAAATGTCTCAAGTTTATCCTTCCTTATGGTAGAGTAGCAATGCTTTGTATATAAATACCACATTTTGTTAATCTGTTCATCTCTTGGTATGTGGATGTTTCTAAGATTTAGATACTATAAATTTGGCTATAAATATAGGGATGCATGTATCACTCGGTATGATAACTTTAACTCTTTCATGAAGATGCCTACAAGGGGAATAGTATTAGGATTTTGAGGAATCTCCATACTGTTTTCCATAGTGGTTGCTAGGCAGGCACCTATGCTGCTGAGTTACCACCCAGCCCTACACTTCACTCCCTTCCTTAGGTCATTATGGTAATTTGTTTACATGTGTGTCATTACTCGACTGTAATTATAGGATGGGTGTTCATCTATCCTCCTAGTATGGAGTTCCTTAGAGCAGGGCTTGTGTTGGATGTGTGTGTGTGTATGTGTGTGTGTGTGTGTGTGTGTGTGTGTGTGTGTTGTGATTTGTAGCATCTGGTTCAGAGGTCATTATTTTTTTCTGATCTTGGAATAGAACCCAGGTCCTTCCACATGCTAGGAGAGCCTTCTGCATCTGAGCCACATCTCCAATCCCAAGTCAGTGTCTAATGAATATTCTTGGAAAGAATTATGTAAAGAGGGAGCCAGACACACACGTATAGTGAGTGATTAATATTGTCATGTAGTCAGGGAGCACAGGCATGGAAAGTGAGTGTTGATGGGATTGGAGAGATGTTAGTTAAATCTACTTAAATTTGTCAGTTTTTTAGGGAAAATAGGGAGCTTCCTCTGAGACACATGTATTATGAGGTGATGGAGAAAAATCTCAGTGCCAATGTCATTGTCATTGTGGTTCTGAGGTAGTTGAATGCAAAAAGGTCTCAGAGAAAATGTATGATGTGATAGGAGGAGGCAGAGGGCTGCTTGATTGCTGGAGAGGGTGGAGGCTAAGAGGAGGCAAGCATGAAGGTGGCAGAGTGTCCAGCAGAGAAGCTTCATGCTTTTTACAGAGGTAGGAGGACAGGCACTAGAAGGCAGGGCTCTGTCACAAAGTCAGGCACGAGGGGCAACCAGGGTGACATAGAATAGCAGTCAGATTGCGCAGTGAAAGAAAAGAAAGGCTTACAGTATTTCTTCTTAAACCAGTGTTAGTGAACATGCTTCTCTACTGAGGGCATGTGGATTCATGGGGAGAACAGAGGAGCACAGTGCAGGGTGAGACAGGATACTCACACAACTATCCCGGGGCGCCTCTGTTCTCATTTCTGCAGTTCACTGTCATTCAGTTGAAGCCATGTCACATGACTGGAGAATCTAACACAGAAAGTGACCAGCAGGAGTTCCCTGTCTGTACGGACACACACCCTAGTTTCCTGGAAATTAGCCATTTCCTGTGTCATGAGTTCCTCATCCTGAGTCTCATACAAACAGTGGAGGAAGTTTAGAGAGTATTGTGACTTAAGTTGGGTCTCCTCCTTGATACACTGCAGCAGCTTCCACTTTCCCCCAGCTGGTAGTTGGCAGGAAAAAATCTTCTCTACCTCCTTGGTCCCCTGTTCACTTAAAAGGCCAAATAGGAAACACAAGATTCTTGAAAGGTCATGCCATGGATGTAATTTTAGCCAAATTCGTATCCATGTGAGCTCAAAATTATATTCATTCATAAGCTTTGAATTTTCCAACACAAAGATCACTGCAGCAAAGAACTCCTGGAAAACCTGGTGAGTGATGATCTTTCTCAGAGTACTACAGTGCTCTTGCAGAAAGCCTGTCTTCAGGTAACTCAAGATGGTGGCCTCTTCTAACCCATGCTCACTGAATTCATCTGCACTGAAAAAGGTGTTTCCTTGCCAGATGCCATCAGCAGCTTCAGAACACAGTTGCCTGACCTGAATCTCTTGAAGTGGAACTGGGAGAGCCTGGGAAAGGTAGTGGAGTAAGAGACCTGTGGTGGTCTGACAGGTCAGTGGGCCTACTTTTTCCTGCTCCATTTGCTGCTTCAAGCAAGTGCAGACCAGCCAGCATACCCAGGGCACAAGACATTGTGTCAAGAGAAATGGGTTTGGTTCAACCAAACTAAGTGCTATAATTGCTTGACCTTCATCTATGAAATAGTTCTTGAAATAGTCCTTCCTTCCAGACTCTGAGAAACCGAGAACTTCTACACAACAGGCCTGCCAAGAATAAGCGAATATTTCCAGAGATGTGGTCCGAGTTGTGATCAGAAAATAAGCCCTGAAAAGTAAGTCTGGCCCCAGTAGATGGCCCAATACTGGAGGTGCTGGATGTGAATATCTCCCCTGTGGAAGGTACTCAGAATTAAGATCCTCCGAGTTTGATATTGGCTGATCCACATTGTCCATGATGAAGAGCACCTGTTCTGGACAAGACAGGATATCCTTGATGGGAACTTCAGTGGATGCCCAGTCTGTTGCCATGAGCTCCTCCAGGCTGTTCACCTTGCACTGGTTCAGCTCTCTGCAGTTGAAATAGAAGACATACTGGAAGCGGTCCCTGTATAGCTGTCCTTCCTCTCAGGCTCCTCTCACTTGCCTGGCCAGTGTTGATTTCCCAGTCCCAGCAGCCCCATATAGTATGACTGTGTGAGGTTCTTCCTGGGTACCTGGGCCAGGCCCAAATAAGTCTTGAATCTCAATCAAATCTCCTTGATCTACTACTGAGTCATAAATCCAGCTCTCTCTGGCCAGGTATTTCTTATCTTTTATATGAGATGTATGTAGAAGTAGCAGCTGAGTGAATTTTTCATGAAAATAATTAGTTTTCCAGGACTGTGCTGGGCCTGACTTCTCATTTGTCTCAGGGATATAAATTGGTTCCATTCCTAAATAACAGAGAAATATGAAGTTACAAAATGGGAGGATTTGTTCATTCATTCATTCATTGAACAACTACACTAAATTTGGCTACCACTCCAAGTGACAGACAGTACATTGGGTGCAGACCTTGGTATGTTCTGTCCAGTGTAGTGGACAGGACATTAGTTTGGAATATGCAGCACTTCAACACACATTCCATGACCAAGTCCCATTCCGTGTATGATTTTCTTTTGTTTTCAAATTTATCAAGGCCTTACTAGATTTTCGGTAATTCTGTATGGAATAGGAATAAACAGACATCCTTGGAGTGATTAAGCCCAAGCTTTGCAGCAGGAGATCTACCAAACCTCTGCTTTCTCATTTGTACCTCAGAACTTGTGATTTGCTCCCTGTAGGAGGCCTTGTCTAGAGAACACAATTGAGTGTGGAGCAGAGGCTGCTGGTTCCTCACAGCATCCCCTCACTCACTGTCATTGCAGGTCTCTCAAACAGCATCCTTCTGTGAGCTCCTTTGGTTGTTGTTCTGAGTGACTGTGTGACCCAAAGGCATGATGGACCAGAAATACTGAGGCTATATTGTCTGGGAAGAACTATTGAGAACAGACTGGGGTCCTCTGAACAAAACTCGTCCAACTCTGAGGCATGTTATACATTGTGCCAAGACATTCTCAAGAGCATAAAACCCTGTTGTTGCTATGGGTTGGGGTTACATCATTTGTGTAAAGCTCATAATTAAATTTATTGCCAATGGTAGCAGTGTTAGGAGGCTGAGCATAAAGCAATGCATGTTTGGTCATGAGCGTTCACTCTTAATGAATGGATGGAGGGAATGATAAAATTATTGCAGACACTAGCACCAATTTATGTCCTTTGCAGATACCTGCTGTCCTTTTCTTTATTTTTTGCCATACATAGAGTGGCACAAATTCTTCATCAGAAATTAAGCAGTTGGACTCATCTGACTTTGCACTTCCTGCTCCCTAAAATATGAGGAAAATCAACCTGTTTTCTTTTAAAGTTATCTTTTCTCAATTATTCTGTCATAGTCATTTAAAATAGATTAAGATAGTATTGCATGTGTAAACTGTTCCTTAATGTAGTCTCATTAGGTTTCATTCTGTTCTGCCTCACTTCCCACCCTCTCTTAGAGCATCCAGTTTACTCCCTAGTAAACTGTGCACACTCATCTCCTATATGAGTTTGCTTCTGAGAGAACTTGACTTATGACAGATCAGAAGATCTGGTAAACTCTGAAGAGCTGAGGTTTCATGTCAGTTAGACTTCAAGTGGAACAATTGTAAAAATTCCTCTCCACATTTTTCTTCTTCAAATGTAGAATGCCTCTCATTTCTCCCTTTAGGTGAATTTGAGCCTAATGTAAGTGATCTCCTGGAGATGCTGAAGCCCAGATAGTCCTAGGTAATGGTGGAGGTACATTTAGAGTTCTCTTTCTCCTGTTATGCTTCTACAGGTATACTTGTGAGATCTAGGGGAATTTTGGGTTGGAGGTCAATGGACAGTTTTAGGCTTTAGGATACCGGGGATTCAGAGGGCCGTGCTTCATAAGACATAGCAATCTATATCTATGTTTGTTTTACTGTCTTTTTTGGGTACATTTCTGACAATGTGAACATTTTCTAAGACTATCAGGATACCTGCACAGGGTCACACATCTGGTCTCTTCTCAGTCCCTGACTGTCCGAGTTGACATAACAGAGCTTAGTTCTTGTATCACATGTTTGAGATATACTTTTCATGGATTTTTGGTCTAGTATACATTTAAATCCCCTTGAATGAAATTTACTTTTTTCTTATTTTCTGAATCAAATGAGGTAGCTGATAATTTCATTTATTTCTTAAGATATTGGTCTGAAATTCTAGGAGGGAGTACAGGGTGCATTAGGTAGGAAGATTTTGATGAACCACATGTGGTAGGGTGCACACTGCACTCTCCATTACATGTAACAGTGAAGTTACCCATGCCATCTGCAGGGAGGTGGTTCATACCTGTTGCCAGGTACAGGCCTCTTAGGCTCTGAGATGCTAGCCATGTAGGTGGAAGCAGAGGGGAATTACTCTGTGTTGTAGAGTAGGGAAAAACTGGCTCAGATCAGAGGCTGGCTAAGAAGGCTGCTGGAAAGGGCAGGGCAGGGGAGAAGAATGCTCATGGGGCCCTAAGAGGAAGGTATATGGGAAGAGGTGTGAGCAATAAAACTCATCTTGCTACATATCTAGTAGAACATTTACTAAAATTTTGTTCAAGCACATATGTCATGGACAGCTAATAAAAGGACCAATTCTATGATGGGGAGTGGCAGTGTATGAAGAATGCAGAGAAGGCAACAGGAAGACTCATATAAGCAAAATGGGATACAGAGTGTACAGTGACTTGTTCCATATTGTACATCAAGGGTTGATTTCAGAGAAAAGCCTGAAGGAGGTGGAATTACCATGAGTTCCTGGCTGGAGCAGAGAGGGCAGAGAAGGAAGGTGAAGGTGAAGGAGGGGAGGACTTTCAGAAAGTAGTGTCAGAGAGGAGAAAAAAATTCCTTCTGCTGCCATGGGAATGAGTTAGATTCCAGCCCAGGTTCAGCCTCTACGTGCTTGGTGAGCCTGCACAGGTGAACTTCTCTCTGTAGTTCTCAGCACTCAGAAAGGGTGGCCTCTTTGAAGGTGGTGTGAGAAGAGGAACAGGCAGGGGCTGGGCTAGGACTGCTCTCTTGGACTTGTTAACTGAGACAGGAGATCAAAATAAGAGAAATCAGGTGAGGGGATTATTTGTGGATGAGGACTAATTGCAGCCTTTTCATGCATTCTATCCTGAGAACAAAATCCTCTTTTGGAGTTCTGGACACCATTTACCTCAGGGATCAACACCATCCACCAAATTATGATCTGAGCTCTGTCACAGTAAGATGAGGCTTAGAAAACATGATCTTTACACATGTGAGACTGATTTATTTCACTTATGAGTAAGGACTCAAGTCCATTTTCCTATTAATGTCTCAAGTTTGTCCTTTATAGCTGAGCAGTATTCTACTGTATGAGATATCACATCTGTTTTTTCCATTCCTCAGTTGATGAGCATTTGGTTTGTTACCAAGCCCTCAGGGTAAACTATCAAAGGGCTAAGTGTAGTTCTTGTATACAACATACCATTTAGCATTGTTTTTGGTCAAATATGTCAGTCTGTGTCTTTTGATTGAGGACCTGAGGCCATTCATGTTGAAACATCATTAAAATGTATTGCTTTATCCATATAGTTGCATTATGTTCCTATTGCTGATTAATGTTTTCCTCTTTCTGCTTAACCTACTCATCCTACTTGATGTATTCATTCCATGAAACATTTTTGGCATAAAAAACCCCCATAAGATGAGGCTCAGTGCCAGACCCATATAGGTCTCAGTTTCTATATCTGTGAAATTGTGGACTGTTATGGTTTTTGTTTAGTTGTTCCCCCAAAGCCTCATGGAAGTTATGGGGCATGCATGGCTGGAGGAGCAACCAGTGACTTGACAGGTGGGGCCAGAGGACCAGGGCAGAGCCCA